TCCAAAATTTAAAATTAAAAAAAAAAAAAAAAAAAAAAAAAAAGAAAAATTTATTTTTGAAGTTTAATATAAACAAATTGAAAAGGATTTTAAAAAATAAATTTTGTTTATTAAACTTTATGGTAGTTATTCTATTGCTATTTTCTATTCCTGTATGATTTACACGTTATTTAAAAGATAATTTTTTTATTTTAAATAATTTAAAAAAAAAAAAAAATTAACTTTAATATTTTTGTTTTTTTTTTTTTTTTTATATATTTAATTTTTTTTGTGTTTTTAAGTATAGTTTTTAAATTTAACATTAAAAAGTAAACAATTTATATATTAAAAAAATTGATGTCTATTTTATCAATAAAAATGTAGCTATAAAAACGTGTAACAAACAAATTGGAAATAGTGAAATCAGCAGTCTGTTCTTTTTTATAAATTTTGCTAAAATTAAAATGCAATCTTGTATAAATAAAAAGAAAGAAATATTTATAATTTATTTTATAATTTACATATATATATATATATATCATGAAAATTATTAATTTAATAATAAAACCATTACATATTAATATTCAATAGTTATTTTATTATTTTATTTTATATTATTTTATTTTTTATTATTTTATTTTTTATTATTTTTTTTTTTATTTTTCATTATTTATTATTTTATTTTTTATTTTTCATTTTATTACTGTAAGAAGACCACACAATAGAAAAAAAAGAAAATAAAAAACGTAACGCTGGAGAAGATATAAATAAATTTAAAAAAGACGAAAAAACTAAAGGGAATAACGAATAACTGATAATACACAATGACTGGAAAAATTGTCTATAAAAAAAAAAAAAAAAAAGAAAAATAATAAATGTAATATTTTAATATAATTATAGAAAAAATAATTCAATATTGAAATTTGATTTATAATGTCTCTTTAAAATTTTAATTTATTGATATATGTTATTAATAAATTGTAAATTATATTTATTATCCTTTTTTTTTTTTAAATAATATAATATAAATTATCCATACATATTAATATGTAATAAAGACAGATTCAAAGATACTAAAATGTGCCCAATAATGAAGAAAACAAAAAAATATGCAAAAGTATTTTTTTTATCAATAACTTCCTCATCTAAAAATATTATTCTAAGAAAATTAAAATAAAAAGTCTATATATTGTTTAAAAAAAGAAATTTATAATTTAATGTGTTACATTGATAATGTTATATAAACAATGAAAGATCCCCATAAATCCCCTTAAAAAAAAAAAAAAAAAAAAAAAAAAAAATTTATATACATAAAGTTCTAGATTTATTTATTTATTCATTTTTCCATTACATTTCTTTATGGTATTAGAATCATCGTATTGATGAAAACATATATAAAGTATTTTTTTAAATATACTTTTTACATCTCTTATCTATGTTATAATTCGAATAAAAAATGAAAAAATAAAATAAAATAATAAAATTCAATATTTAGTATATAATAATAATGCTATTAATAATAAATAAGAAATTATCTTGTCTAATTGAAAACAAGAATAATTTATCATTTTTTTTTTTTTTTTTTCTTTTTTTTGTTTATATTGAAGTAAAAAGTAAATTTAATAGTTTTGTGTTTTTTTTTCTAATTTTCTTGCCAATGTATCTTTAACTGGTTCATCCATAGTAAATTCATAATTATCCAAACGTGGAGCTAAGTAAAATTTTTATTTATTAAATATATATATTCTTTAAAAAAAAGAAAAAATTTATTTTAAAAAATTTTTCTTTTACCATTTGTATCCATTTTCTTTTTTATTTTTGTTATGTTAAATATAACCTTATATACAATTATTTAACCTTTTAAGGTAAGTATAATTTATCTTTATGTTAAAAAGTAAAAAGTAGGAAATTAAATAATAATTGTATTTTAAATAGTTTCTATCATAATTGTTAGCTTTTTTAATATTTTAATTTTCTTTTTCTTTATAATAACCTTAATTTTCTTGTTTTATATTTTTTTTTTTTTTTTCTATTTATTTTTTATTTTATTTTTTTTTTAAGATAGTTTATGTAACTAAAAAAAGATTCTTTTCTTTTTTTTTTTTTTTTTTTCTTTCTGTTTAAATATGAACCATTTCTAACAATAAATATAAAAATTTTTCATTTTTTCAATAAAAAAAAAAATGTTGAAAGAAACTAACATTTATTAAATAAAGTGTTTTTTAATTTTATAACAAAAAAGTTTTAATTATTGTTCCACATATTTTTTTCAAACGTCCATTTGAAGAATAATAAATACTCTTAATAAATATTCTAAAAATATTTCTTTTAATCAATAAATTCTTTTTTTTTCATTCATTTTAAGTTAAGAATTCCATAAACTATTGAAATTATTATAAATATCTGAATTTATTTTAAGAATATATTAATGAAATTAAAACAGTATATTTTTACATATTAATGTCATTGTTATGTGTAAAAAGTTATACAGAAAAATATGCTTTTGTATATGAATTGTGATATCAATAATAGTACAGGAAACTTCGTATTTTTTAAAATGGAGAATATTAAAAAATTATATAAAATATTAATAAATATGAAGATTATAAAGTCTTATAAAACTTTAATAGAAATTAATTCAATATTGAATTCTATTATTGTATCCTTCACTGAAATAAATAACACACATGTATTTTAGAAATATTTTATATTGTAAAATCATTAATTTTTTATAAAGCTTTTTTAGTAAAATTAAAAAAAAAAAAAAAAAAAAAAAAAAAAAATCAAA